GTCCATCGATGCTGCCACTTGGCCAATCCATCTCATTGGGGATTTTCCTCTTTTTCTCTGACCCTTCACCTTACCAAACATAATATCATTCTCTAGTACTGATCCCTCCTGACAATATGTCTGAAGTATGAGAAACGAAGTTTGGCCATCTTGGCCTCCAAGGAGCACTCTGGCTGCACTTCTTCTAAAACAGATCTATTGGTTCTTTTGGCAGACCATGGCACTTTCAATATTCTCCTCCAGCATCAATTCTTCTACAGTCTTCCGTATTCATTGTCCAGCTTTTGCATGCATATGAGGTTATTGAAAATACCATGGTTTGGGTCAGGCGCACCTTAGATCTCAAGCTGACATATTTGCTCTTCAACATTTTAAAAAGGTCTTGTGCAGCAGATTTGCCTAATGCATTTGATTTCTTGACTGCTGCTTCCATGATAGCTGATCCAAAAAGAATGAAGTCCTTGAAAACTTCAATCTTTTCTCCATTGATAAAAATGTTGTTTATTGGTCCAGTGGTGAGGATTTTTGTTTTCTTCATCTTAAGTGTGACTAGACACTCAGGCAAAGCTTGTTTGGTTTCTGCTAAGTCTGGATCTTGCATCTGGCTTTTCCTCTGATCTTCAGGTCTTTGGACTTGAGCCAGTGGCCTGCTCTATTACCTGCAGATCTTGGAGCCATTCTTATATGCCAGGCTTGCTTGCCTGCCTGCCTGTCTGTAGGTCTCGGTTCATCTGACCTGGACTTGGAACTCTCCTACCTCTATAATTGTGTGAGCCATTTCCTTGATATGAACTTTTCTTTATACATATATATGTATAAAGAATATTAACATATATATTATACATTATATGAACATTTGTATTATATATATTTATGAAAAACTTTTCTTTATATACACACACACACACACACACATATACATATATATATATTGTTGTTAAATGCCGTCGAGTCAGTTCTGACCCATAGAGACCCTGTATAGGGTTTCTGAGGAGCAGCTGGTAAGCTTGAACCACTAACCTTGAGGTTCAAACTGACCTTGCAGTCCAGTGCATTGACCCATAGTGCTTTTATATATATATGGAGCTCTGGTAGCGTAGTGGTTACAAATCAGGCTGTGAACCTCAGGGTCAGCAGTTCGAAACTACCCGTTGTCCCGCAGGAGAAAGATGAGGCTTTCTGCTCCCGTAAAGATTTACAGCCTTGGAAACCCTGTACAGGGTCACCATGAGTCAGAACAGACTCCACGGCACATTACAACAACAACTATATATATATATATATATATATATATGGAATCTTGGTGTGGTGCTGTGGGTTAATGTGCCGACTGCTAGGTCAGTTTGAACTGCAAGGTTGGTGGTTCAAGCTTACCAGCTGCTCTTCAGAAACCCTATAAGAGATCACTATGGATGAGAACTGACTTGATGGCACTTAACAACAACATATATATTTGTAAGCTTCAGTGGTTTTACTACTCTAGAGAACTTAGCCTAAGACATTATCCATTCTTATTTCTATGTCTACCTATTTATAAACAAAACCAGAGTCCTGCTGTGGCATTTTATGATAAAGCACTGAACCACAAGGTCGGTTTGAAACACAAGATGGGTGGTTCAAACTCACCAGCCACTCCTCAGAAACCCTACACAGGGTCACTATGAGTCTGAACTGACTCGACAGCACTTAACAAAAACATACTAAACTTCAAGAGTTCCCCTCTGATACCTTTAATTCTTATGCAACACCACATGATTTATTCTAGTGCTCCACCTTCTCTTATTTTGACTTCCTTACTGACAGTAATACTCCTGCCCAAAATGCACGATCTGAATAAAATCATAAAGAAATATCAGACATAACCAAAATAGGAGACATTTTTATCAAAGAAATGGCCTAACCCCTTAAACAATGCCCACGTCATGAAATTCAAATAAAACTGAGGATCTGTTCCAGATTAAAGGAGGCCAAACACACAGGACAACTAAATCGAACGTGTGATCCTAGACTGGATGTTGAATAGGGAAGAAAATGTTATATCACTGGACATTTGCTATAACTTGGACTGTAGACTATCCATTAAATAATAGTATTGGATCAGTGTGAAATGTCCTGATTTTGATGATTATGCTCTGGTTTTATAAGAGAATTCCTTGCTCTTAGGAAATACACACTGAAGTATTTAGTATAAGTAAAAAGCTATGTGTATGCAATTTACACTCAATGGTTCAGAAAAAGTTGAACTGTGTGTGAAGAGGGCGGCAAAATGAAGTGGAAAGGACAGATAAAGCAAATGTTAACAGTGAGCATTCTACAGGAGTTCTTTGTAACAGTCTTGGAATTTTCTTCTGTGAATTTAAAATTATATCAAAATAAAGTTGCAAAATTAAAGGTGCCAATGATAAAAGTGCACAAATATAAAATGTAACCATCTAACCATGTCTTTGTAGTTAGTAGTAGACATGCACTGAGAGTCCACCGGGAACCCTCTGACTAGTAAAACCTGAGAGACGTGGATGTTCTTGAATCAGGCTCTACCAACCAGCAGAAGCTTGAGAAGCAGACAGGCTGTGGAGGCCATGAGTGGGTTGGGGTGGTGGGAGGCCGGTAACTGGCCTTGAAGAGAAGCCCAGGAGTATGGGTGGGAGATCAGTGTGCTAGTTCCAGACTGCCCCGATATTTGCTGCCTTCATGCATCCATCTCTGGGAAGGACTTCCAAGTGATTCAGAAGACGAGGTCTCTAACAGAAACTGGTGGTGTGGCCTAAATATGATTTTTCTCTCTGAAAGTACTGAATGCCAAGTCACTCATTTGAGCTCAGAGTTAAAACACACACTTCACTCCCAGCCGTCTTCTAACCCTGCTGCTGGTCGATAGTGATCATGTTCCTGTAGGAATCATGATTATTACAGAAACCACTAAAGACCACACAGGAAGTTCAGACACTACCTGTCCAACCTCCAGGACCAAGATGGAAGAAAAACTCAATGCTCCTAGTCACTGCTTCTACCTCCAACATGCAACTCAATGGTTACCAGGGAAGCGAGCTAACATTGTGCTTTATAGTGACAGCAAGAAAAGAAAGCTGTCCTGCAAGGTGCATCTCCATCTGTATACAGCCCCACACCAAAGACACAACACACCAGGACTTACCATTGATCCCTTGAGAATGAGATGAGGAAGCGAATGCCAACAGGGAGCCGAGCCATTGATGTCACCAGTAACCACGGCGTATCGGTTGTGAGAGATGATGCTTCATACATGGGTGATTAATCTCTCCTCCAAGTTACCTCTCTACTGCCCCCACAGCTTGCACAGGCTGGGAACATGCGTAGACAATGTCCTGTTGGGTCTTGTGTCCCCTTTTCTTACAGTTGTGGCTCAGTACTCTGCAAGGAGAAAAGGTGTCACCAGCAGAAGTCATAGGAATGGATGTTACCCAGCCTGGGTAAAGTCATATGGCAGGGAGTTCCCACCATTATCAGGTATAGGAGGTGTCTGCTCTCAGGGTGTTTGTTCAAAGGGAATTGAACTGAATTTCCCATGACGCTTTGATGAAACATTAGAGAGACTACAGAGGTCATCTACATCTGGATGGCAGCTAGAGATCAACCCATCCCCTCTGAACTGACACTCTTGTTGTTGTTGTTATGTGCCGTGGAGTCGATTCTGACTCATAGCGACCCTGCACAGGGTTTCCAAGGCTGTAAATCTTTACGGGAGCAGAAAGCCTCATCTTTCTCCTGTGGAACAGCTGGTAATTTTGAACTCCTGACCATGAGATTAGCAGCCCAATTTGTAACCACTACAGAAGTAGAATTAACATTCACCTGAAACCAAGTATGGGCCCAGTGGTTATGCCATAAACTCAATTATAGAGCATACCAGGGCAATTGGACATGCTCAATCCCACCCATGTGGACCACAGAGAGGCACAGAGAGGAGTGAAGGCATGTCCAAGATGGCAGGATGGCATCTTGATTGTGGCTTTACACTTTGAATCTAAACCTATGTAATGTGGTGGAAGCTAACTTCACCGATCTACCTCTTCCTTTTTTCATCTCCTGTGGATCACTATGAAGGTCACAGACAATAATAAAGTCAAACCTGAAGGCAGAGTTAGGAATGGGTAGAGAGGCCTGAGGGTCATAAGTCTCCCCGTTCACGATGCCAGCTTGGTGACAAGAATTCCACGGACAAATGCTTCATATAAAAGTACATAGTAGCCCTATATATGCTGTAACACTGAATTTCTACCTTAATGTTTCTAGAATGTTGTTAAGTGCTGTTGAGTAGGTTCTGACTCAGAACAACCCTTTGTAGGGTTTCCAAGGAGTGACTGGTGAGTTTGAACTGCCAACCTTGCAGTTCAAACTGGCTTTGCAGTCAGTCCTACAGCACACACCAGGACTCTAGCTGTTTCTAGACTAGTCATAGTAGTCATAGGCTAGGTATATTTTTTAAAGAAAGCTATTTTTGAGTAATAAACAATCTGGATTTAAAGAAATTGACATGCTCCGACTTTGCTGGTATGGTGCTGTGGGTTAATGCACCAGACTGCAAAGCCATCTGAGCTGCAAGTTCAGTGGTTCAAACTCACCAGTCACTCCTCAGAAACCCTATATAGGGTCGCTATGGGTCAGAACTAACTTGATGGCACTTAACAACAACTTTCTTTTTGGATGACCTTGCGGTTCGCAGCTAGGCAATAGCAAACACCTTCCATTTAGATTTATAGTTGCTGTTAGGTGTTACTGAGTTGGTTCTGACTTATAGCAACTTTACGTGTAACAGAATGAAATACTGCTCTCTTCTGACAAAGTCACTCTGTGTGACAGTTAAGGTTTTGTGTCAACTTGACTGGGCCAGGTTCTCCTTGGTTTGTGAGTAAAAACATAGTAATCCCCCATGATGAGATCTAATATAATGTTACTAGATCCAATCTAATATAATGATCCTCTAGGATCCAGTCAATTGGAAGGAAATTTCCTCAAGGGTGTGGCCTACTTCCAATATATTAGACACTTAGGCAACCCAATAGAGATTAAGTGCTAAAGGTATGCTAAGTAGTCTTGAGAAACCTCACGTCGCTACCTTAGGTGATTTAAGCTTAAAAAGTAATTTATAACAGTTTGCTTGAATTTTTGGAAAATTAAGAATGTTAGACTATTAAGACAATCTGCGATGTATATTTTAGAATTTATTCCTGGAAATCATTGTGTCCTGTTTTGAAGATTAATCACATTTCATTTCTGTACCCTGTCTTATCTGAATAATCACCTTCTTCCTGTGTGCAAAATTCCTCCCTGAAAAAATAAAAGACGAATGCAGATTGAATGCTGCATGCATTTACTGCCTGCAGTGCGATGCTGCCGGCAATGCAGGGTCTGCCTGCCAGTTTTGCATTCACTCTGGTCTCAAAGTGTCTCCTTTTTTTCTCTCGTTGCGTTTTTGTGTATATTCTTTTTCTATTTCTTTCATCACCAGATCTCCCTACTTCGTGAACCAAACTTCCCTATTGAGGCAGGTCCCCAACATTCCTGGCTCCCAACGTGGGGCCTTCATGTTGGATTTTCGTCCATGACACAAGGCCTCAGCATCTCAAAGCTAGAGGTCACCAACAGTATTTACCCACAAGAAATATGAGCTATAACACGAATAGATATATGCACACCAATGTTCATGCCCATCAAATGAAGAATGGATAAACAAACTGTTGTACATACACACAATGGAATATTATGCTATCTTGAAGAATAGCAAGGAAGCTGCAAGCCACCACTTGAGGACATTATGTTGAGTGAAATTAGTTAGTCACAAAAGGAGAAATACTGCATAGGACCACTACTGTGAAAGACTAAGAAAAAGAATGGGGGGGGGTTCTTTGCTGGTTACTGGGATGTGGGGCTTGGGGTGAGGGGAGGGAGGGGAAGGTGGAGCACAGGGTAGGGTATAGACACAGGGAAGTTTCAGTGCCAGGGAGGGGGCAATACACAAGAATGGGAAGGAGAATGGAATTTGATATGTCTTGGTGATTTTCTTTGGGGTTCTATCCTGTCTGGAGTCCATTTAGCTTCTTAAATGATTATCTTCTGATCTTTCATAATGTTAGGAAAGTTTTCTTGTGGCAAGTCTTTGACCGTTTTCTCCATGCTTTTTATTGTCTCTTGTTCTAGAATGCCAATCATATCTAAGTTATTCCTCTTCATGATGCCCCACATAAATCTCAAGCTTTCATTACAAAAACAAAAAGAACTAACAGATAAAATAAAAGCAAATTTTAAAAGAATACAAATACTGCAAATAGAAATCCTGAAGATTAATACTATGATCTTAGAAATGGACAATACACTGAAAGGCTAAAGGAGTAGATGTGAATCAATGGAAGCCCAAATTAGTGAGCTGGAAGATCAATCTTTCAATACTAGCATACTACAAAAACAATCAGAAAAAAGAATGGAAAAACAAACTTACTAAAACCAAAGACAAGGAAAAACTCCTGAGAGCCTCTTGGGAAAAATGAAGTTACCTACAAAGGAGAACCAATAAGGCTAATCTCAGATTTCTCAGCAGAAACTATGTAGGCTAGAAGGCAATGGGATGACATAAACAAAACCATGAAAAAAAAAAAAAATTGCCAACCAAGAATCATATGCAGCAAAACTGTCTTATCAAATATGATGGCAAAATTAGGACATTTTCAGATACACAGAAATTAAAGGAAATCATAATTAACAGACCAACTTTACAAAATTACTAAAGTGAGTTCTTTGGATTAAGAACCAACAGCAGACAACAATCTGAATCTGAGATTAGAATACATGACAATACCGCTTAGAATTCATTCCAGATATAGAGGTATTTAAAGTTAAAAAAAACCTACAAGGCTGAAAATAGGGAACCAGAGATATCAATGCATAATGAAGGCAACTACAAAGCAAAAAAAGGGAAGGGTGTAGATACAGAACTTCCTAATGGGTAAGAAGTTAAACATATTTTAAGATGAAACAGACTGTTTTAAAAGTGGGAAAATTAATAAATTACAAGGTAAACTCAAAGAAAATACACCTTCACATCAAAATAAAAAAGAGAAAATTTAGAAAGATTTAGTAAACACGAAAACAACAACAATGAAGAAAATGAAAAAGAAAACTCACAAATAAAATGAACTCAGAACACAGAAATGTATGTGGAACAAAGAAACTAACACCACCACACACACAAAAAAAAACAAAAAACAAAAAAAAGCAGAATGGCAGCAACTAACTCATACCTATCAATGATTACACTGAATGTAAATGGATTAAAGGCACTTGTCAAGAGACAGAGTAACAGAATGGATAAGAAGATAGGAATCCTTTAATATCCTTCAAGAGATACACCTAACGCACAAAGACAAAAATAGACTAAAAATCAAAGGATGGAAAAAATGTATCAAACGATTATGATGCTGTTAAATATCATCAAGCCAATTCCAAATCATAGAGATTTTGTATAGGATTTCCCTGGAGCAACTGGTGGGTTTAAACCGCTGACCTTGTGCTTAGTAGTCCAATGCCAATCCTACAGTGAGTAGGAGTGGAAATATTAATCTGATAAAATAGATTTTAAGGCAAAAACCAGCATAAGAGAAAAAGAAGGATATTATATCATAATTAAAGGATCAATTGAGTAAAAGGACACAAACATCACAAATATTTATGCTCCCAATGAAAGACCTTCAAAATACATAAATCAAACTCTAATAGAACTGAAGAAATAGACAACTGTACAGTGATAGTTGTTGTTGTTATTAAGTGTCCTTGAGTCGTTACCAACTCATAGCAACCCTGTATAAGGTTTCTGAGGAGCAGTTGGTGAGTTTGAACTGCCGACCTTGCAGTTCAAACCAACCTTGAGGTCAAATGCTTATCCTACAGTGCCACAATTATAATAGATTT